GACTTTAGTAACTGGGTTAGTCCTGACTAGTAGCTATTAGTAGGCTTCTCCTCCATGAATTTGGTTAATTCTCCAATCCTCTTTTAAAGTGCTCTGCTTAATAGCCATCAGTTCATCTTGTGGAAGTGAATTCTGTAATTTAACTATGGACTGTGTGACGAAGGAGGAAGAAAATTGTTTCCCTATCCACTTTCTCAACACCATGTGCAATTTTGTACATCTCCATTATGTCTCTCTGTACTTGCCTTTTTCTAACATAAAGTTGCAGATGTGTAATCTTTCCCTTGCTTCAGATGCATGATCATTCCAATTGTCCTTTTCTGATCTTCTTGTAACTCTATACTATCTTTTTTCAGGACAGTAACTGAGAAGTCTGTTAGGGATGTTACTGTATTGTCACTGCAGAATTGTGTGCATTCTAAGTGTGGTCATACCATTAATATAAGGGCAATATGATATCGGCAAATTATTTTCAATGCATTTCCTAGTTTTGCCTCATGTGGAATTTCCCTTTTTTGTAATAGCCACTGGGTTAACATTTTCATCAAGCTGTTCACCTCATCCCCAAGATCTCTTCCTTGGTCAGTCACCACCAATTCATATCTCATCACTTATTCTTGAAGTTTTTATTCATTTATTTTTTTACTGCAGTGTACGTTTCTTTAGACATGGTTATATTTGATTTGGGGGATGCGGTGGTGCAGTCGGTTAAACCGCTGAGCCGCTGGGCTGGTTGATTGAAAGGTCGACAGTTCGAATCCGCAGATGGGATGAGCTCCCGTACTCTGTCCCAGCTCCTGCCAACCTTGCAGTTCAAAAGCATACATATGCAAGTAGATAAAACAGTACTACTTCAGTGGGAAGGTAACAGTGTTCCGTGCACTTCGGTGTTTAGTCATGCTGGCCACGTGACCATGAAAACTGTCTGCGAACAAACGCTGGCTCCCTCAGCTAGGAAACAGAGATGAGCACCGCCCCCAAGAGTCAGACATGACTGGACTTTAATGTCATGGGGAAACCTTTACCTTTTTTTATTTGCATTTGCCATTTTGAGGCCCATTCTCCCAGTTTGGAGAGATCCTTTTGGAGCTCCTCACAATTCCTTTTGGTTTTAACAATCACATCAGAAAACTTGGCCACTTCACTCCGCACTCCTAATTTCAGATCAATTATGAATAAGCTGAAAAGATTGGTGTCAATACAGAACTGGTTCCAATGTACGACTGCACTGTTTAGATACATCTATTGGGATTATTTAGCATTTATTCTTTCTACCTACTTTCTGTTCTTTAACCAGTTCATCCATAACAGCATCTCCCTTCTTATTCCATGCTTGCTAACCTTGTTCTGGAGTCTTTTGTGTCGAATGTATGTCAAAACCTTTTGGAAATCCAAGTAGGCAATTTTTGTCAGATCATCCAAATCCACATGTTTATTAACACATGTCTACCAGATCACCCCATCCCTGTGTTCACTGACATTCTCAAAGAACTGTAAAAGGTTAGTAAAAGAGGGCTTACCTTTCCAAAAGCCATGTTGGTTCTTTCTCAGCAGTTCTTGTCCTTCTATATGTTTCTTAATGTTGTCTTTAATAATGATTTCTATCAATTCATCTGGAACAGACATTAAACTTGAACGCATGTAATTTCCCAGGTATTCCTTGGACCTCTTTTTAAAAATGGGTATTACTCTGCCCATTCTGTGGTCCTCTGGCACAGAGGTTGATCTAATGGGCATGTTACATATTTTTTAAAATCAACGATTTCATATTTGAGTTTTTCAAAGAAATGTTGATGGATGCCATCTTCATTTTCTAATTTATATACATATAAGCAGATTTAGAAATCATTATAATAAATTAAAAAGATGTACGTGACACCTTATCATGGTGAAAGTGATTTAGGTACCTGTTTATTTTGATCTGATGCTAGTCATTGATGAACAGTTCGAAGTCCTGCTCCCCCTAGTTATGGGTCTTTATCTTTTAATTGGACTTTTACTGTAGTGTGTAAAGCAGGACACACAGCTGTCTTCTGATCCAGAAATTTCATGAGGGCATGAGGGTCCACACTTTAAGGTACCATGTATACAAGTTCTTCTCCATTCACTTCCAAGAAATAAGAAATCCAGTAAACAAAAAAAATCCCCAGTCTTCTTCCCCTTCCCCTATTGAAGTGGCAGCTCATTCATGAAAGAACTCCATGTTATGCAAGCCTACATATAAGTTATATTGCTTCTAGAATCTAGATGAGGAATAGGTAAAATGGTACGCTTCAGATGTTTTGGACTACAACTCCCACAAATCCTCATCAGCCTAGGCAATGGCTAGGAATTTATGGTGGCTGTAGTCTATAACATCTGGAGAGTACCCTAACCCTACCCTACTCTTTGCAGTTGAGAAACAGTACTTTGTGATATCTTCTACCCTTCCGTCTATTGTTGTTATGTTTTTGTACTATACAATAACTAAAGCTCGGAATAGCAAAATATTGTCTTCCTTGTCTTCCTTGTCCATAAAGCTCTACTGCATGTAGCATGTTTTAAAAATCGGTATCACCATAATTAATACCTGGAAGCACTTTGGAGCAGGGATGATACGGCATCAGAAACATAGGCCTGTCACATTTCTACCCAGACAGTATAGCCTAATCTGTTTTGCTGTCCTAGGGGATACATCATGTGATGTGAATGATAGAACCTCAGTTCTTTCCAAAGATTCAGAGTAAGGTTCTCAACCTGTTTGGATCCATAAACACATTGGGAACTTGAGAAACTGCTGGGGACGCCATCACAAAAAGACTAATCAGTGGATTGCTGCTTTGGCATTTTCTTGTCATGGCTATGGATCTTAGGCTGTGTCTTATTAAACATACAATTTCTCTTCATGTCTAGTGGACAGTGTAACACCTCTTTAATAAGAGAGAATTCATCCTATTGTTGGCAAATACAGCTAATGCTTCCTTTCAACATATGTCTTGACAATGTCCAGAAGTTGGTTCTTTTGTAAGGAAAGTGCATTACACAGATATTTTTGTACTGCAACAGTCTTAATACTCACAGATGTACATGCTCTTTTAAATTATTTTACTTCATGGAAATTAACAGATGGGGAGAAAATGGATTCTCTTTGCACTATAGAAGGCTGATACTGCAACAATTGGAAAGATAAATGCTCACCTCTTACAAAGCAATGGCTTGAAGACCTTTCATTGCTTTTAATTTATAAATGGGAGGCATATAGATGTCACCTTTAAATGGCTACTTATTGGGATATTTGGTCTACTTTGGTTTAATACTTGGTACAACTACAGAAAGTTGTATGCATGTCTTATAAATCCATTTCAATATTAAAAACAGAAACAAAAAAGAAAAAAGAGGAGGGGAGGGGAGGGAGAAAAGTGGGTGTTCATGGGCACCACATTGGGGAACCTGCCTCACAAGATGATGAGTAGCGATTTGGCTGTGGCATGATAGAGAAAACTGTGTAGAGCTGTACATTGTTTGTTTGTTTATTTATTTATTAAAATATTTTTATGCCCGCCCCATTCGCCGAAGCCTCGGGGCGGCTTACAACAATTAATTGTTAACATTGTGCACACCTTTCTGATGACACCTTTCTGCTAGCACTGATAGAAATGTTGCTGCCTGTACTGTCTGGCTGGCCCTGCATTTCATTACATCGTTATCTCAAAGGTTCCTACAGAGTGTTTAGGAAAACGTTTCATGTATAAGAAACAAATGAGTGAAATTAGAGATCTATGTTTGGAATGGCTAGCAAAGTACCACTGCCCTAGCTACCGTATTTGCTCTGAACAAGGAGTTGGGCATTACATGTTGTGTTCTTGATTTGGAAGGGGAGGGAAGCCTTAACACTGGCATAGGACAGGAAAAGAAAAGGTGGCTTTATGTGATTATTACTTTATAGTTTTATCAGCTGTGGGATATGTGTGTTGCATTGGGACCTCAGCATGGGGAAGGAGGGGTTTTGCTTGTTTGTTTGCTTCTTTTCTTAATCTGCTGTGATACATCACAGCCCTGACAAAGGACACACAGAGAGCTTATATTCTGCATGGAGGGAAGCTGCCATTTGTGGGAGAAAGAGTCCTGCCCTCTCTATGACATACCATTTAGCAAAGTAAAAAAGATTCACCCTATACTGCACATGTACTGTTACATATAGTTTGACTTTAAAGTCAGGGACACCCCTGCTTATTTTAGAAATGTTTTGTCTACCTGCAAATCTATTCATTGACTTGCAAAATATTTGCTATGCAGTTACTTGGGCTGGTCATAGATTCTCATTAATTCAGCCCAGTCTTCAACATATTTCTGCTGGAAAGTTTCTAGAGATGCAGTGCTTTAAACATAGGATCATTATTTTAAGCAGCCCATTTTTGAAAACCTTTTCAGTATCATAACTTTAAAAAATCAGATATCCCTATTCACTAAATGGAATCGTTGCTCAGATTGAAGCCTTCAACAATCTCTCATAGGTATGAGAATATAGGTATTCTTCCCTGTGTGGGCCCACTGTGTGCATGCAGAGGGATCCCCCCCACCAAGCTCTGTTTCATTTGAGCTCCCCCTTTGAATCATCATACAGGTGTTCATACAAACAGCTCCTGAGGACAGGAATGGGCGAGCAGTGTGTATTCCTGTACCCCCATTCAGTCTGCCTAATTGCTTAGTCAGGTTATGGAAACTGTGAAGCCCATCATCTGACTGGGAGCATCAATATGGAGACACACAGAGACATTTCACAACCTTTCGTTCCCCACAACATCTCGTGCTGCCTGCACCTGCACCAATGTGCACTCAGGGAAAAGTGGAACACTCTTGAGCTCTGTGGGAATCTCCAAGTGTTTTGTTTAACAATATATTTTTTCCAAATGCAAGATTGAATAGAATATTTAATTTATTCATACAATAAATTGGTCTCAGATCAGGGATGCATTGTGTTGAATATGCAGAGATTGCAACATAATTGCTTTTTTATTCAGTTATAGGTGCCCAGCGCAGGAGAAGCCCCAGTGCACTTGCCACTGAAGTATTTGAGTCACATTTGGGAAGTCACATTCTACAGGTAAAAACAACGGCTTTACAAAACAAACAAACGAAGTTGAACATACTCATTTACAAGATCTAAGATTCCTGCCAGTTATTTATTTGGCTACTGTGTGTTATTGTCATGGCTTTTATGATGAGGTGTTTACAAATTCATTTTTGTTTTTTCCTTTTTAGAAAGCCATGGTTGACAGAATATTAATGAGAGAGGGAGGGCAAGTATTACTTGTGCTGTAATAATCTAGATATCACACAACTTAGTTGTATTGCACTGTGCAGTAGCTGTTGGCTCCCCAAATGACTGTGTGTGCTTGTAAAAGTATAAATCACTATTTTGTGAAACAAATTTTTATTTTTTGTCTTGCTCACATTTAGGCTTTCATTTTTCTTCTGCTATTTTAGTTCTCCACCACCTTTCCCCTTCTTTACTACTGTTTTGACTGTCACATTCAAAATGATATTTATCTTCCTTTAGAAGATAGCATGTCTTCCAGATCATAGACGTACTAGATAATCAGTGCAGTGTTTCTTGAAATTTCATTCAGTAGTATGTGCTGAACAGATTATCTTGACAAGTGTTGATGCATTGTGCATGTGCTTTTGTTTTGTTTTAACACAAGATTCCATATTAGAATCACATTAAAGCTATAGGATCGAAATGGATATAACTTTTCAGGATAGGCAAGGGTTTTTTTCCCAATAAATTTACCTTGATTATAGTATCTTTCACTGCCTTGAAAATAAAAATGATTTATCAGAAATGTATGGTTACTTAATCTGTTTGTTCAAAATAGAATGTTATTTTAAGATTAAAGAGTGAAAATTGCTGTGTTCAAATGCCATGATATGTCATGATTTATCATGACAGGAAAAAACCAACCCTTTGCTAGGCCTGCATGCTCCTTCCCTTCTTTTCTTCTGCTGCAGCTACAAAGATCAGATGCTTTTAGTTTAACTACATGCCATCCAATGGCTAAACTGTGATTAATCTTAACTCTGGCTTGCTGAAGCAACTCTGCTTCATTTCCATAGTTTAAAGATGGTTTGTTTTTTAAAAATCAAGTTTAAGCACACCCTGTTGATTTAGGTGATATAACAAGCCATAGTTGATCAAAACCAGAAACAAATCCTTCGGAACTCATTCTGCTCCTCCTCTAGCTGCCATGCTAGAAGAGGAGCAAGAAGGGGGAGCACACAGGTCCAGGAGGAAACAAGGATCATTTTGTCACATTAAATCAGCATTTGTGGTAAAGTTTAAGTACAGTGATAATCAAACAATTTTTAATTCCTCTTGTAAATAGGAGTTGGTGTTCTGTAATATGTTGCTGCAGCATTGCTATGGCTAATAACATACTAGAAAAAAATGTCAACAGAATAGTACTGGTTTAGTTTCTTAAGGATGCTGTGACTGTGAATTCAGGGATTTTGTAATTTGTATGACTTTGTATGACTTGCCATCATCATTCTGCAAGTGGACCAGGAAAATTTATTGCTTACTGTATCGAGTATACAAATGGTTTGATGTTTTACATATAAGATTGGAGTTTTGTTTTGTTATTATCATGCTGGTATTCAAGAAAGGATAAATAGGCTAAGGTACAACCCTAGCACCCCATCGCAAATGCTTGTAAGTCGCCAAACTTGCCGTCCAATGCAAGTTGGGAGCAGTGGCATCACCAAGTTTCATGTCCTACATTTTAGATTTAGTGCTGGGGTGTTGATTTGAATCTCTGTAATTCCATCAGCCCCAGCTCTTCTCCTTCCTGCCTCAGGCCAACTGTTATAGGCCCACTTGTGACTGCAGTAGGAACAGCAGTGTGGTTCTTTCCATGCCATTATGAAGGGAAAGAGCGGGGGCTTGGCCTTTGATTTCCAAGTTCTGAGATTGTAGGATGTCAGAACTGGGACTTCTACGGATCCTTTGGCCTGCCAGACAATGACAGGAGTGGGTTTGTGGCTTAAAGCTTTCAGATATTTTGCTTATTGAATTAGTTTCAGGTATTATGAAAAATATATTAACAGATCAGGTGCAATGTGGACAGTATTAAGCATGTTTAAGTCTTGCTGATTTCAACAGGAGATTTCAAGCTTCTTAACTCATCTATTAATTCCATCAGTTTGGATATTAATTCCATGGCTTGGATATTGCCTTTTTCTAGCATTATAAAGATACAGAAAGTACTAATTGAAATAGATTTGTATACAACTCATCTGAGTCATATTTATGAAATGTGTTCATCCTGACCTTATTCATGCATCTCAGAAGACTACCATGGAATTTTAATTGAATATTATTTGATGCTTCTTTACTGCCTGTTTATCATAGGCTTTTGGGAACAAGGGGAATGAGTCATTTAAATTGTTGAAAGTGAAAAGATTTGTAAAGTACAAATTAGTGTCTAAAGATTTATCACTCCATGTGTGCATTTATCTCATATTAATATTACACTGAATAATTATTGAGATATGGCTTCCTGGGCAATGGTGCATTTATACAATTGTTCCAGGTATTTTTTACACAAATTAGAACCTGAAAGTTTGAAAGAGAGAAGGCCAACAATGAAAAAGATGAATAAGTTAATAACTGAATGCAAACTGATAATGAGACTCTGAAGATGCTGCGTTTTGTTTTAGTATGGTATATAACAGCATAGTATCACCTTACTGAAGGAATATCTCTTCCCATATTTGTCCTTAGCATCCAGTCATCATCTGAGGCCCTCCTCCAGGTGCCTTGCAAAATAAGATGAGCCAGAGGGAGGGCCTTTTCAGTGATGGCACCCTGCCTGTGAAGATGAAGACATGTTTTGCTTACCAAGACATTTCAAAAACTGTTTGAGTGCTTTTAGACTATAGTCCTTCAATTCTGCTATTGGTTTTATTTTGGCTTTATGGGCTGTAATGTCCTTACTCTTTGTTGCTGGATTCAGCTTGAGATTTTTATATTTTTTTCACTGTTTCTTCATTTGTTGTTCCTGTTTTTCATGTATTATATGCTGCCTGGGGAACTTGAACACATCAAAAGTGTAATAGCAATACATAAATAAATGAATAGAACATGGTAGTTTCAGCAGAGAAACCTGTAAGAGCACAAGGGTCTGCATATATGATAACAGGTGACATTTCAGAGACTAAAACTGCATTCTAGCATGAGCTTCCAAGAGCTTGATTCCCACCAGGTATGTATATAGGCACATAGGTTCTCTCTGAACTTCTTTTCTTTGAGTCCACTTCATTAGCATGAAAAATGAAGCATGGATTTTGCACTCCAAATGTATGCAACCAACTAATGTGTTGGGCTTTACGACGTGGTAGGATTCCTTGTTGTTTCTATTACAAAAAAAATGAATGTGAGTGGTTATTCCTGTGAATACATTAATGCATTTATATTCAATCAAGTTCTGAGTGCAGAATCTACCAGCTGTTTTGAGATAGGGATATGGAGGAAGTGGTGAGTTGGATTCAGTCTCATAATAGCTATAGTTCCCTAGCTCATTGTAGATCAGCTCTATGGAAGCCTTTAAAGTCACAGATGTATGCTTAACAGGATTACTCACCAGTTTATGGATTTCACCCAAATTCATCTCCCCCTGCCCCATGAATTAGCACTAATCATCAAGAAACCTGAAATTATTCCAGAATGGAACAATTCCCCAGTTTCCACAGCCTTATTTCCCCTCTTAGTGTTGTTGAGTCTTTTCAGAACTTAAGTATGACTGCATGTCATCTTTGAATAATAGAGATCCAGTTATGGGTTTATGCACATAACAACATTAAAAATCTGTAATTTATTTTTTAGATTATCATGAGTACGTGGTCTTTAATGTGCAGTGGGGTTTATAGTCTACTATATTTCTGGAATATGTTCAAATCTTGCAACATCCAGGAGTTGGATTCTGGATGTGAGATGTAATAGATATGAGGTTTTTGAAAAACTCCAATAATCTTTCAGTATCAGAGAGGTAGAGGAAGTCAACTTATTCTTTAGGCTGTAGTCTGCTAGAACAAAAAACACAGAGAGAATTATAGAACATTCATGGCAAAAACTGTCTTATTTTGATATCTGAAGCCATAATGCAGAGACAAAAAAGAAAACAAATCAAAGGGGTACAGTCAGTCAAAGTGAAGTATGCATGTTGGAAAATGCCCATTTCTTGGGAGAAAGCTAAAGTACCAAGCAATCTAACAGACAGCAGTGCATCCTTTTTTTCTTTTCTGAGACACCGTGTCCAATATGGAATCCACCAGAAATATCTATCAGTACATGAATCACATCCTATATAGACTGTGCGCCACTTTTCCTTGAATGCCATGAGGTCATTGGAACCTCGGTTTTTGTTCATCCTGCCAGTACACAATTTTGTATATTGAATTTTAACTTTAATTTGAAGTAACGTCTGGAAATTTCACCAAGTTCAAACATCTCTTGTTCTTGCATGTCTAACAGAACCCTTATTTTGTGAGGGAGGGATAGCTATGATTCTCTGTCTGCTGGGCTTTAATATATCATTATTTTTATGTAAGTAGCTAAGGGGAAAGTTAGAACAGTTGTAGTAATATGAATTTAGTTGTTGAATGTAATGTAATTTGACATAAAATACTGAAATAAAACAGCATGCTGCAGTATTTTAAATCTAGATCCTGCAGGAAGATAGTGCCCTGGTCATATAAAAATCTGGCAAGTTTTTAAGAGCAAAATATAGAGTCAAAAAGACAATCTTAATCAGCAAGCTTTGAGCCAACAACTTATGTTCAGGAACATTATGACAATATAAGAAAATTTCATACTCTATGTAATTAAACAACATTATTACATAGTAGGAATAGCTTGTTTAGAGCAAAGAGTAGTTAATTAACCAGCATGCAACTTCCCATTTTTATTCAGATGTCTTACTAGGTTTAACTTTACCTTTGATTGAAATTTTCTGGCTACAGCTAAAAAAAAGATGAGGATATTCTGCATTTTCTAAGATTGTGCAGAAAGGATACATTGTGTAAGCTTTTATTGGATATTATGAA